CAGTTATGATTATGTAATACCTAAACTAAATTATTATAAAATACAGCAATTATTCTTAAGTTAAAAGATATCTTCATTAAAGTAGCTATGTAAATTAATACAGTGTATCTATTTACTCTTCCGATGTACATTTACTGCCTACTCATACACTATACACATACAGTAAACTACGGTTATAACGAACACGCTTATAACGAACTGGCGGATATAACGAACTGTTTTTTTGGTCCAAGCCATTTGCTGTATAAATGGTGTATATATGTTTATAACGAACTAAAATTAGTGGTCCCTTTGAGTTCGTTATAACCGTAGTTTACTGTATTGGGATATTCCATGTCTTACTGCGTGGTGTATTATGGAAATAAAGAAGTTAAAGTCTTGCTGCCTGACTAGAAACAACAGAAGACTCCAAACAGAAATGCCTCCGCGAGTGTGGGTTCCCAAACAGTGACGGCGTCCCATTCTGAGGATGACGATGACGTTCCACTGTCACATCAGCACCCACAACCAGCCATCTAGTGATGAAGAATTCATCATCACCTGGATGACGTCATCCCAGCTTAGAACACACATTGGGAATCTGAATTGGGTGTCGTAGTGCTAAGGTTGTTATGTACATCGGCACCCTGGTCATTGGAGCACTGGAGCTGAACCTGAATCTTCAGCTGAGACATCCGATGATGATGATGATGATGACGATGATGATGTTTCGGAATAATCAGTGCCTGACACGAACTTTTCATAAGTGCTGCAGAACATGGCTGCTATCAAGAAATTCTCCACTACAAATAAGTCCCGTTTGCTCTAGTCCTTGCTTGTGTCGGAGGCAGAAGCTTAGATGGATGCCCTTTAGATAAAAAAAAGACAAGACGCCAAGCAACTATATGATAATTCCTCCCTAAGGGAACTGTTGTTTGTTTATTGATACATGTCTGTTACAATGTATGTGATTTATAGTCCTGATATACGTATTCATATCGTTCTGTGATGTCTTTTTGCAATGTATATGATCAAGTTTAAATTTACAAGTTTAATAAACTGCGGGTGCATTCATCCATGAAACTGTCTAATCCGACATCTGTCTTATCCGACATTTCCCCTGTCCCGAGCGGTGTCGGATTACACAGAATCTACTGTAGATAAGTTGTCATGGAAACAATACCTGCAATGAATTTGTGGGTTTTCTTTTCATGTTTTGACATCTTTAGATTATAAACCTTTAAATGTCATCGTAGAGTTTTGAAAACCAACACTACCCCCTCAACCCTTAAATTACGCAATCTTGCAAAGTTTTGATCAATGAGTCTCATGTCAAGCAAACGGGTGGGAAGTTACACAGCGAACAACCAAAATCAATCAGTCTTTTTGCGTACATAAACAGTCATGTTTGCTAACTGCCAACCCAGTACACAGTTAGATCAGGCACGATTAGGAGTGGATCGAAAACCATCCCATTGTTGACACAGACCTGCATGTCTCTAGCGAGTTTCACTACTCGACCGACGCATCACACTGCTGGTGCTGAAAGGAAAGACAGGTCATGTTCTGAGCCTTCGTCGCTGATAGGAGAGGCGAAACTCCTCCATGGAATAAACTACAAGCTGAACAAGGATGACGTGAGTATTTAAAAATGTCCACTTTGCTGTAGTTGGGCCCTGCTTCTGTAAGGCGCCGCTATTCGCTTTGCAGAGTTGCAAAACACGTATGATCGTGGGTTCGAATCCATGTCAACTTGGTAATGTTTCTCCGTTAGTGTGTGTGGTTGCTTGTCCGAGTCAGGACGTATGCTGATTTTATTGTACTAACTCACTGAGATACCATGCCGCAGTTTAACATGAATACCCCACTCAGACACAGTATACTGACCCCGAGCCGAGCAGTCCTTGTTTAAGCCCCTTAATGCCGAGCGCCAGGAAGGGTAACAACAAGAACCGTATTTTAACGTATTTTGGTATGACGCGGCCGGGGATCGAACCCCGACCTTCCGCTCTCCGGGAAGACGTGACGAGAAGGGGCGACTTTAGGTGAGTAAACTTTATGTTATTCAAATGTTCTGGTGAGTAATTATTACCTGTAGTTCACCGATTCTTATTCGAGGCCGCTATTTAATAAAGGTCGTTTTTTAGAGGACGCCATCGAACGATAACCAAAGGCTGGAAGTCCTATAATAACAGGTGATGTAAACTGTGAAATTCCTATTGTGCACACGACACCACTGTTATGACTACCGCTACAATACACGTTCCTTGGCTGATAGTATTTTGCGAAACAATAATATAAGTCTCGTTTTTGCATTAAGCAGTGCTGTAAATGAACGGTCGATGGCTACCTTTTATAGAAGACACTTGGTACTCCCCTGGGAATGATGACGTCTGCAGTACGGCGTTAACTGTGAACTGAATAAGGTTCACGGACCGATTCATTTGTTTCATGAACCACGAACTTACAGATGCTGCCCCTATCCACGTCGGATTGTGTAGGCCGGTGGTTAGTGCGCTTGCTCGTCATAGAATATATACCCTGGTTCGTGTCCCGATTCAATTAAGTTCATTCTGGGTCGACCCAGGCGCATGCCATAACAAGATGCTTCGTATCAATGTATTACCATTTCCGAAATCGTGCTTACGCTTTGAAATAGTTCCCCCTTTAGTGCAATTTTAAAACACTTGTGACATATTTCTCGCTTTCTTTGATAACAAGAATGATAACATCAATAAGCGTTCGTTATTTAATACCAGGAACAATATTTAAGGGAACCCACAAACTTGCTCAGAAATGATATGTAAAGAAATGACTTTGTGGAATACAATCTATCAGGTAAAGTCAGTATCTGGTCCATGCCCCGTGAGCACCGATACAGGCACGACATTTTCTGGGCATATACTGGAAATCAAACGCCGGAATGTCTCCCTTGGTATGAATAGCCTTTCTTCTTGTAAGGATTGCCAAAGCTGTGGCAAATTCTGAGAACGCTGAGGTCGGTTGGGATACGATGACATGCATCAACAAAGTCAGCGAGCCTGACCATCCGATCCTGTTAGTCTCTTATTACGACAAGCATAGTCGTCATTTACGGCAAGCAGAAAATTCAATTATTGACATCATGAACATCGATGCACGCAATTGGGATACGATGACATGCATCAACCAAGTCAGCGAGCCTCGGCCGTTAGTCGCATCTTTCGACAAGCATGGTCGTCTTTCACGGCAAACATATGTTGCTGAAGACCTATTCTTCCCGGATCTTCACTGGTAGAACATGCACGTGCATCGATCCCTTGGTTCTCAGATGGTCTCTCCCATACATACGTGTATATCATCATCATCATCATCATCATCATCATCATCATCACATCATCATCATCATCATCATCATCATCATCATCATCAATGCGTTTCCTTTTCCAGGAGTTTATATGTCGATAAGCTCCAACTAATAGATTGCGATAAACGTTGAGTAAATTGAGCCGCATTGTATTTGGTATGTCGAATCACATGTAGACATAGCTCTCTGTGCTTAATGAACCGCTATTCGCTCGATATATTACTTCCATATGAACAGCGAACAAAACCTTTCAGTGGCATTAAACGTCGGTTTGAAATGTATGTCACATAGTGAGGGACATAATGCACGTCCCATTTGCATCCCTTTCATTTACATAATGGGACCATGATTTATGAAAACGTTCGATATATTTATTCAAGACACCTGCATTAGTTTGGGGCAGTGTTCAGCGTTATTATCTGTTGACATCTTGTAACTGCTTGGTAGATGCGATGTCGACGTGTTCTTAGCGATAACTACATCCGCCTGTGATTTGAATATTGAGTGAGTGAGTTGGTTTCAACGCTGCTTTGAAAAGTATTCTAATTATATCACGGCTTGTGAGCTTACTGTGGGGGAAAGCCCGAAGTGTTGCAGGTGTCAGACATTTACCATTTCGGTGAAACCCACGATCACGGGTATGGTGCTGACAATACATAATCGGGACGAACCAGGATTGGAACCGGCGATTATATATTTCTAGCGTGCCCAAGGGACGCAACTCTGCACAGCGAATCGTGAGGCCTCAGACGACCTGGCCACCTATGCCCTCAGGAAACCCAGAACAGGTTGTTGGTTTGTTTATTGTTTGTTGTTTAACGCCGCACTCAGCAATATTCCAACTGTATGACGACGGTCTGTCGATAATGGAGTCTAGACCAGAAAATCCAGTGATGGTGGATTCATTTCAGTTAGTGAATTTACACCACTTTTAACAGTATTCCAGTTATATCATGACGTGTCAACGTGATTTGGGATGATAACACGTCTGTGACGTCATTGTATTGTTTGAACGCTCCATTATTTTTCAGGAATGGAGAGTTGTTTGTCAACAATACATTATCTTGAATCAACCTTTGAATGAATTTCCACTTTGAATGGACGGAACTATTTTTTACATTTATCGACAAGTGAATATATATTTTTTCCCCCGAAAACGTGTCGCCAGGCGTGGTTCGAACCCGCATCGTTTCATTTGAGAACGTGTAATTGTCAACCTCAGCTACGGCGGCACATGAAGGTATGGTGTGAAATTAACTGTTTAATATTTTTCATAATTTTGATAATGCTTAAAAGCTAGTATATATTCTGTGTTAGAACAGGTTACCTACAACAATGTCTATATTTATAGCAATTAGATCAATCTTTGACGAGAAAAAACAAATCAGGTAATATATATATCCTTGTTCGGGGCTCTATATTTCCTATTATTCCCGTCAGCATGTATTGACAATGTTCAAGCGATTGATAAATACTTAGTTCAGGGCACAACGAAATTATGAAGAGCCGTACCATGCATTGTAAATGTCGGCTCGCGACGGAGCTTGGTGCACGTGCAACAGCGGCAGAGAACGTATTCCTCGTGCATCATGCAAGGGTGACACGCGCAGTATAAATACAGTCCACAAAGAGTTCTGGTATGTTTTTCTAATATTTTTATACAGAATATTTTGTCAAAGGGTAAAGGTAGGGATGAGTTATAAGTAGGAGAATATCCTCGTAACTCTCCATTCCTTAAAAAAGGGGCCTCTGCTCCATTATTTTTAAGGAATGGAAAGTCACTCGGACATTCCCCTCTAGGGATATCCCAAAGTGAAGCAGATCTTAGACGTTTACCACTTTGACGAAACGCAAGAGCACGGGACACCCGACCAACTTTAGTGAGCAAGCATATCGGGGACCTGTTTTCCAGGGAATATGTATTTGGATGTACGATGAGTATATGCTGATTTGAATAATGGAAATTCCGGGTTAGAATTTGTCTCCAGGACCTACAACGTTGCTTTGAACGAGGAGACTTAATGGATCGATGGTAATCATCCTCGGACGGTCGGGGTGTTGCTTATAATATCAATCACTGGTTTGTCATATAGCTGAGCGCGGCGTTAAATAACAAACACACATTTGTCATACCAAACACTTACTTTCTTTAATGACCTGTGAAGATCCGGGGTTGAATAGGTCTTCAGCAACCCATGCCTGCCGTAAAAGGCGACTATGCTTGTCGTAAGAGGTGACTAACGGGATCGGGTGGTCATGCTCGCTGACTTGGTTGATGCATGTCATCGTATCCAAATTGCGTAGATCGATGCAAACTTCCTTTAATTGACATGTTTTTCAGTTCATCAAACGGTATCGTATTTCATGGCATACAAGTATACTAGCCACATAAATAAACTGTGCACGGAGAAAATATAGATATAAGGGCACACCGTCCATATATGAAAGATAGGTTTGAACACAGCAATTATTGGAGACATTCAAACGCTCATGCACGTGCCATGCGATATGACGTCATTGATGGGGGCCTATGGACGTGCAATGTGTTACTGCACGTGCATTCTGTGCAGCTGTACACATCATGTGCAACTCAATTCAAAAATTCAAAACTTCACAGGCGCAGACACAAGCATATCACAAGCAAATCATGCCAAGATTGACAGCTGCACAGCGTCATGAAGCCATTGGAATGATCCGAGCGGGAATGAGGCAACAACAGGTGGCAACACATTTCCAACGCCATCGTAACACGATATCGGCATTGGTGAGGCGTTATCAGAACACAAATGACGTTGCCGACCACCCACGTTCATGACGTCCCCGAGTAACGACGCCAAGACAGGACAGATGGATTCGAGTTACACATCTCCGACACAGGTTCCAAACGGCAGTAACGACGTCCCAGACAATTCCTGTACTGCGCCGTATCCATCCCAACACTGTCAGGAATCGTTTACGTCAGTACGGTATTCGACCACGACGCCCTGCCATACGTCCCATCCTGACACACCGTCATCGAGTCAACCGTCTAAGATGGTGTCGAAATCATGTTCGCCAACCTCGAATATGGTGGAGAAATGTTGTCTTTACAGATGAATCGAGGTTCAACATTTCCCACAGTGTCGGGCGCCAACGTGTCTACCGGCGTTTGGGAGAACGTTATGCACGCAACTGTATTGTGGAGAGGAATTGTTTTGGAGGTGGCTCTGTGATGATTTGGGGTGGGATAACAGCACGGCACCGAACCCCTTTGGTGGTTGTTCAGGGCAATCTCACCGGTGTTGGCTACTGAGATCAGATTCTGAGGCCTGTGGTCATTCCTTTCCTGCAACGTCATGGCCCGGGATTGACATTTCAACAGGACAACGCTCGTCCTCACACGGCTAGGGTCGCAATGGATTTCCTTCACCATAACAATGTCATGTTACTGCCATGGCCAGATCTCTCCCCAATAGAGCATGTGTGGGATGAAATGGAGCGCCGTCTGCGTCGTCTTCCACATCCTCCAGATAACGTCCGTGACTTGGCACAGGATTTGAGGAGGATATGGCAGGCCATTCCCCAGGCCTTCCATGCCCATTTGGTGGACTCCATGCGTCGCCGATGCACTGCTGTGATTCACGCACACGGTGGTCATACCCGTTATTGACTTTGTGACTTTGTGACTTTGTCGTTTGACCCCCTACTCCATTTTGATCTTCTGACGTCATCGTAACAGATGTTGTTCAGGTCCCGTTGACATTTTCTTATGGTCCGATCATTCAGCTGCTACAGCGTCAGCATCATTTTGTTCTTGCTGTGTTGTATTTCAATCCAGAATAAATTTTTCCGTGCACAGTTTCTTTATGTGGCTAGTATATATCAAATAACAGTTTCATAACCGTTGCCTTTATTCTGTCCTTCAGTGTAGGATTAATTCAACAATAGGCTTTTACTTCTACAAATTCTACCTTGTCTGTTGACATAAATCGATTGTAAATATCCAATGCATTTTAATTACCAGTATGTGTCCATCTAAACCACGAGTTTGTTACATACATGAATATTGACAGATACAAAATATCAAGGAAAATAAACGCGGCAATACGTTAACCGATGCGTTCAATGAAGCGGATCGGAAGAGCTCACGTAATGAAGCATTTATAACATGCTTGCTCGGGGTTTATTGGATTATTGATATTCATTCGTGACCAACTCGTGTTATTCCGGGACAAGCCGAATAGCGATTATCTGCCGTCTATCCGACCAAGGCAGGTGATGGTACAGCGTAAGTAGCTAGATCAATGGATGCTGAAGCAATAACACGTTCCATCGAAACATAAACAATCCTTATCTGATTGAAGATGCGTGGAAGTCAACACGCCTGTGATGAAAATACACATTTGTTATTGGTTGCATCTACAAATTCACCATGTGTACAATTCTCAATTAAAAATGATTTTTGTCTTTGCAGGGGTCGAGTACACATGTTTTTGTTATGTGGGTTATTTCCGGTTAAGATCATCCGGGTTGAATATCGACGGATAAAAGAGTATTGCTGTTAACACCCGGAAAATGCCTATCGATTTATCTTACGTTGAAGTCATTCATAGTCCTGCCACTAAGCTAGTACGCATTGAATCAATTTAAGCCTTGACAGGTGAACGATTTATGTTGAATAAACGATTATGCATTAACGTTTCAGGCCAGTCATTGTTGGAGGGAAATCCTTTGAGAGAGATGAGCTTTGGGAACACATCTTTGAGATCTCGGGTTGCGTCAAGATGGCGTGTCGATTTTCTGTATTAGTTGTCTTCGCGTTGATGAGTCTCAGCCTTCCCCGAGCTCATGGAGCAGATAGCAATATTACAGAACGTGATGTCCTCAATCGTCTGCTGGACCCAGACTGTTATGATGCGACAATAAGACCGGGCGTTGATGAAGGTAAGATAAGGTCAAGGTCATTTAAGATCTTTTCACGTTCCTTGGTATATTTTGTTTGCTTGTTTGTTGTTTAACGCCGCACTCAGCAATATTCCAGCTATATGACGGTGGCCTGTAAATAACCGAGTCCGGACGGGACAATCCAGTGATTGGTATCATGAGCATCAACTTTCACAATTGGGATATGACGACATGCATCAACCAAGTCAGCGAGTCTGACTAACGGGAATGTGTCAGCTCGTTGGGTTCCTGACATCTGATCCTAAACGCCCCAGGCACAATATGTCTCATGATAATCGTGATAATAGCTGACTGAGAAAGGTTCTTGCAACAATGTGTTACTATTGATGAAACCTGGGTTCATTACATCTACACAACAACCAAAGCAGAGGAAGCGTTTAACATCACCACCACCAATGAAGGCAAAGACTGCCCTATCACCTGGAAAGGTTATGGCATCCTGTTCTGGGATCCTGAGGGTGCCAGCATGGTGGACTGACTTCCGAAAGGCCGGACAATATGCAGCAAATTATGCTGCACTTTTGTGTCAATTACGGGATGAAATTAAGACTAAAATCTGGCTCCGTCAGACTTCCACATGTTCCCAACCATAAGAAAACTCCTGACGGAACCCATTTCGACTCGAACGATGGCTTCATGCCAGCCGTGGAGAACCTTGAGGACACCAAAGAGAAGGACTTCAATTTACGAAACTGGGATAAAATCTCTCCAACATCGTTGTGAAAAGTATATCAAAGTGGAATGTCTTTCGTGGACTATCACTCAAGCCTTGTATCTCCATCCATTTTAGAACGCTTCTCAAAGTGTTGGTAACCGTGACAAGGCTTGAGACAATAAATTGACTGACCAGACCAGACCTCGATTTGCACGTGCAAAATGGACGCGTACTGCAGTTTGTTTTCACCTTTGCTTGGCGATAAAAGTTGAAGGTGAAGGACGTGTCTGCTTTCTGAAAGGAAATTGCTATACTGCTTAACAAACTTTAGAACATTTCTGACCTGACAATTGACCCACGGTTCTGCATAATCCGTGCAGCCGGGGTAGAACGTTTGCTTGTGGGCTTCTGTGCATTTATCTATTCGAAGTGTTGCATAGACGAGCACACGTAGAACTCAACGTGCAGCGCGTCACGCTCCACCTAAGTCCCCTGTTGAATTGAAATGGATTCTTCCGTTACACGCGGAACGCCAACTGACCCAAAACGCGGTGTTCACAAGGTGACTTTCCATTCTGCCTACAGTCCCAATTTGTCTACATTACTTAAACAGCAAGACACGGTCTGATGCACAGAGATGGATGCATGAGCATCGATCTACGCAGTTGGGATACGATGACATGTATCAACCAAGTCAGCGAGCCTAACCACCCGATCCCGTTAGTCACAGCTTTCGACAAGCATAGTCGCCTCTTACGACAAGCATGGGATGCTGAAGACCTATTCTTACCCGTATCTTCACGTATCTGTATTTTATGAATATGAATAATTTGAAATGACAAATATGTGATAATATATTTTCCTGACATTGTGTTCACAGGGGAGGCAACGTGTGTTGAAATTGATATGGCCTTGAATTCAGTCGGTCCAGTCAGCAACATCAAAATGGTAGGTTGAACGGCAGCGGAATGGCCACTTCCTCCAATAGCATGTCGGTTGCTTTCTTTACCCTCTCTCGGGAGCAAAAGTAGTTTGGGACACTGATACGATTGCTAGTATTAAATGTTTCTATTTACACTAATCGCGCTGTTAAGATTGATTCATCTGCGTCTGTTAATTTTGATACTGTTTCCGCTGGTCACTAGTTTTAGAACACGCAAGTTGTTCCTGTGAATGGAAGAACGTAATATATTTCCCAGACAAACTGAACACATATTTTTTCTGGATTTTCCTTTCTGTGTACTGTGTTTGTTTGTTGTTTAACGCGGCACTCAACAATAATCGAGCTATATTGCGGGAATTCTATCTATTATCGAGTCTGGGCCTAACAGACGGTATAGAAATAATACAGTGATTGATATCATGAGCATCGATCCACGACATTCTTCCCATGGCAAGGGAGTTAACCGACTGTGAAAACCCAGTTTCCGCACCTGCCAAACTTGCCTGGAAATTCTGAGTTACATTTTGGCTAGGTGAACGAGACTGCATAGTCCAATCAAAATGGCGCAACTAAATGGACGTGGCGACTGCCGTGCAGATTTTGGTCGATTGCCAATCTCATTAAAATCAGATCTTAGTTCTCGCTATCGCCAAACAAAGATCTGGGTCACGTCAGAACGACCTTTCGCGAACTTTGACCGACCACTAAAATGACTAAAATGAAGACGACATCAGCCAGTTAGAAAGCAGCTTTCTCGAGCTTTACGGCACTCGTTTCAACCTGGCGACTTCCATTTCAGACTACGCTTCAAAAGTATGTTGACACAGTTCTCGATTAAAATTTTGAAAACTGAACAAACGAACATTCCGGAATGTCTAATATATAGTTGAGATTGTATGGCAGTGCTTCCCACGTACTGTGCATCACCTCCTCTGTTCACATTTTTATCCCACGGAGGCGAAAGATAATTTTGAAGGAATCAGTCGTACGGGACGTAACTGTCGTTCGGAATACCCCGTGTTTTCGAGGTTGCATGATGAGACATTCCGACTGTCACTTTCATGATCTGGTAAGCGACGCTTTGATTGGTTGGATGAAAGGTCTTTCTGACGTGACCCGCAATGGGATGTCCTCAGATCTTTGTTTAGGGGCAGCGAGAACTCAGATCTGATTTTAATGAGATTGGTCGATTGCAGAATTTGCACAGCATGTGTACGGTCAACTGGGCGTCGACAGATATTTTCCAAATCGTTTCATGTTTTGAATGTGCGTACTCAAATGATTCCATGCACTTCACGAGGTAAGACCAGTTTTATTACAATATAGAATCTGATCTTGATTATCAATCAGATCGTCTTGACTGGGCGCATCCATTTTATTTGAAGCAAATGCAAGTAATATGAGAGATGGCATCTGATTGGTTATCAGGATGGACATATAAGGGACATAACTCGTAACAACCACAAGTGGCGCTACGACCGAGACACGAAATTCCAGCCTAGTTTGGCAAGGGTGGAAACTGGACTTCTATAGTCATTTAAATCCCTTGCCTCCGGAAGTATTGAAAATGACCACTGTCTTCACCCTGATGTTTCAGGAGGTGAGCACGAGCTTCTTCCTGCGGCAGCAGTGGCGAGATGCCCGTCTGATGTACGACGACTTCAACCGCAGCATCGTCATAAGTCACAAGCGGCTCGGGTCGCTGTGGGTGCCGGATCTCTACTTCACTCAGTCAAAACACGAGATTCTACACAACTTGACGACGCCAAACGTCATGATCAGACTCTCCCCCAACGGGACTGTTCTCTATACACAGAGGTAGGTGGAATTTGTTCAGTGTCTCATCATGCTTGTCTGAAGAGCGAAAAGTCAATGGTTCGATCCCCGGCTGCATAATACGTTAAGTATGGTAGTTGTTGCTTCCCTGCCTGGAGTTCGGCATAAAGGGGCTTAAACAAGGATTGGTCGGTTCGTAGTCAGTATACTGTGCCTGAGTGGGTTATCCATTTTAAACTGCGGCATGGTATCTCAGTGGGCTAGCACTATGAAACCGGCGTAGGTCTGGGCCAATGAAAGAAGCCACAACCACACAAACACAGACACACACACAAACATATATACACAGACACACACACACACACACACGTGTCGCTATATGAGTAAAACATACTGGAATGCAACGTTAAACCCCATTCCACCTTATCTCATCTCTTACAGCATTCTAACTTCTTCGCTGTGAAAAGTGGCGTCCGAAAGTCTTGATCCAAGTAACAGCTGGTTGGTGTGGATTCGAATCCCAAGTTCTGCTTATGATTCCATTTTGTAAAAGATTGTGAGGCATATTTGGTCCGGCGGCCCGAGGCGCCACATTTCGGCATGCAGGGTTTCGCGGCTTTGCACAACGACGATCGTAACTCGTATAACTTTAACATAGACTAAGTGCTAAGATTACTGAGTGCGCAGATCAATTTTAGCGATATTTCATTAAGTGCCAGGACTGCAAATTGATCTTTGATTACCTTCGTGCTGAGGTGACTCAGTTCACCTAGATCACGCCTAGATCAATACCAAACTGATTTCGTCCAGTATTGAGAGAAAGCTATTGGCCTCATGCGACCACAATTTAGAGCTTAATTGTTACTTTCGTGATTTACTAATATTTGTACCTAATTATTGTAGTTTACATTTTGCGGCGAATTTTAGCTTACAGTATTATTTGAGGAGTCGGCTCTAGACATAACTTGAGTGGTCTCCCTTGTGCCAGCGCATCCTCAATATCCAGACAACCATTACGTTTGACCACGAGAATCCGATGTTTATAGTCATTGAAATGGCCAGTTAACTGGTCTAACCTATTTAAATCATGACCAACATTCAAAGAACCGTATATTATAAGCAACAGTGTTTCAATAACCGTATCAAAAAATAATTTAACTCATTGGAGTCCGCGTGATGCATGATATATGTTCCCAGCTCTGTTCGCACGTGCCCCTCGCTGTATGTCTCAAGGCAAGTGGACAACTCATGTAGGACCAGTTCAGCCCAATTAGTATCATAAGGTTTCCATGTACAGAAAATAATGACCCTCCTGATGCTTGTCATATTTTTTTATGAACCTCCCATGTCCTTCTCCATTTTGAAGACATTTGAAAAGAAAAAGTGCAAAAGGACTTGTCGTTCTATTCTAAAATGTTCATAAAATGACCCTTTTCCAAATATGTGTATTATTTTGTATGACTCCCCTTGAGACCGCCATATTTATAGTGACCCTCCCAGAGTTCCTCTCACCCATCCCAGGGCAACATACAGCTCGATGTACATAGGCTCTCACACAGGTACATCACACCATACAGCTCGATGTACATAGGCTCTCACACTGGTACATCACACCATACAGCTCGATGTACATAGGCTCTCACACTGGTACATCACACCATACAGCTCGGGGTACATAGGCTCTCACACTGGTACATCACACCATACAGCTCGGGGTACATAGGCTCTCACACTGGTACATCACACAATACAGCTCGGGGTACATAGGCTCTCACGCAGGTACACAACACCATGCGGCTCGATGTACATAGGCTCTCACACCGGTACACAACACCATACGGCTCGATGTACATAGGCTCTCACACAGGTACATCACACCATACAGCTCGGTGTACACAGGCTCTCACACAGGTACATCACACCATACAGCTCGGGGTACATAGGCTCTCACACAGGTACATCACACCATACAGCTCGGTGTACACAGGCTCTCACACAGGTACATCACACCATACAGCTCGGGGTACATAGGCTCTCACACAGGTACATCACACCATACAGCTCGGGGTACACAGGCTCTCACACTGGTACATCACACAATACAGCTCGGGGTACATAGGCTCTAACACAGGTACATCACACCATACAGCTCGGGGTACATAGGCTCTCACACTGGTACATCACACCATACAGCTCGGTGTACAGAGGCTCTCACACAGGTACATCACACCATACAGCTCGGGGTACATAGGCTCTCACACTGGTACATCACACCATACAGCTCGGGGTACACAGGCTCTCACACTGGTACATCACACCATACAGCTCGGTGTACACAGGCTCTCACACAGGTACATCACACCATACAGCTCGGGGTACATAGGCTCTCACACAGGTACATCACACCATACAGCTCGGGGTACACAGGCTCTCACGCCGGTACATCACACCATGCGGCTCGGTCTACACAGGCTGTCACACACGGTACATCACACAATACAGCTCGGTCTACACAGGCTGTCACACACGGTACATCACACCATGCGGTTAGGGGCACATTGGCTCTCACACATGTGACCCGTGAAGACCCGGGTTAGAATAGGTCTTCTGCAACCCATGCTTGCTGTAAAAGGCGATTATGCTTGTTGTAAGAGGCGACTAACGGGGGATCGGGTAGTCAGGCTCGCTGACTTGGTTGATGCATATCATTGATCCCAATTGCATGGATCGATGCTCATGATATCAATCACTGGATTGTCTAGTACAGACTCGATTATTTACAGATCGCCGTCATATAGCTGGAATATTGCTGAGTGCGGCGTTAAACAACAAACCAACCAACCAACCGACTCACACACGGTACATCACATCATATTTACCCCGATATTTATCGCAAAAGTTGCAATATCAATAGTCGTAATAGTTTCTTCCAATATCAATAGTTATCACAAAAGTGATTTCCAGAACAATAGTCACTCCTAATACCCACCGAGGACGGCTGACAACTGATATTATATTTCAACAGTACAACTTCTACAAACGTTCTATTTCCAGGTTGTCGGTGATTGTCCAGTGCCAGATGAACCTGGTCAAATTCCCCATGGACTCTCAGACCTGTTACATAGCTATGGAAAGCTGTAAGTGCCTGCTTGTTTGCTGCTGTTGGGGCTACTCAACAAAAAGCATGATATTAAACTGGGGAAAATCTATTTTCAAATATACCGAACGTCCATATCTCCTTGGCAAATAAATACATCGATTACCAAAACCTGGCCTCCACAAGGGGATAATCGCTTGATACTATGACGTCGCAATCAAACCACATCACTAATCCTGCCCCTGAAGATGGTTGGATATACTTTTTACACCCAAGGCACTGGTTGTTACTGTTTTCACACTGAAAACGTGGGAAGAGTGATGTTGGGTGATAAACATAAATCATTCTTAATCTCGTATCTATTTCACTCTTTTGAAAGCAACTATATCGATACTCGTCCATAAAATTTAAAACTCCGATGCTTGACTCGTGTAACGAGGGTGAAATTCTTTTTTAGTCATCGATCTCATTTTGATAGATGTCCAAGATTCCACCGGTATCGTAACTGGTTCAAGAGCAGAAAGATCATTGTCAAAGATTGTTGATTTTCATTATGTCACATTATGAACAAAAATAAGTGACTTCCGAATCTTACCCGGATTGTAACCACGTGACCAAAACTCAATGATGGTGTTTTTCTGAATGGATATTTCAAACACTTGAAAAACGCACTTTTAAATTTTTGTCATTTCTATAAGTAATATTCCTTATCGGTGGAACGGCTTTTCACTTTACAAGTATGAGCACAGATGCAGCTATCTTCATTGAGGGGCATTCACACGGTACAACTAGTTGTATACAATGTGTTGCCTTCAACACATTGCATCGTGTGAACGGGCAAGTCGGTCCAAAGTTTGACGTATGCAACTTGTTGGACGTGAGTTGTACGAAATAGGACATGTTCTATTTTCATACGACACGTTGTATGAACGCAGCCAATCAAAAGGCGTTAATGCCGAGTTGTAAACGACTTCAGTTCGTGCAACTTATTGCATACAGGTTGTATACAACTAGTTATACCGTGTGAATGCCCATTTATATAATCATCTCGATACTGATTCAAGTGGCGAGGTCGTCAAGTACTTCCAAATTACACAGTGTGCTGGATTGTTTTAGTGTTTAATGTTCTTTTAAAATTGTTTTAGATATTTTCAGATAAAATATAAATGCCCCCTCTCCAAGTATTAAATAGTCAATCCCTTAAGACTGCTTTGTGGAATCATGGCTGTAAGAAGACAATGTTGTTGCAGACAGCTTCACCGCCGACTCCTTGTACTTCCGGTGGAGTGGGCATCGCCAGGCGACGTCAGTGCAGCCCGAGGCCAACATCCCTGACTTCAGCATCTCTGACGTCATCGCCGAGGACTGCTCTTCAACCTATGCTATAGGTATGGTCGGATAGATCAGAGGCGCGCGTCAGTGGCTGAACATGTCTGTGATCGCACCTCATTCAATAACACTTGAGTGTAATAATGGAATACCTTCATAAATCGCAAATGAGTATTGTTTTACGCCACTTTTAGCAGTACCACTGCCAGGATACACCCTGAACTGGTTTCAGACTTTGTACCCTTATGCGGGGATCGAACCTCGGCCGATGGGGTTGGCCAACACTTGACTACTAGGCCACCTGTGTACCTATCAAAGAACAGGGAGCACGGGTGGCCCAGTCGTATAAGGCGCCGCAATTCGCAGAAACCCGTGACTGTGTTCGAGTCCCGGTTCGCCACGATTATGTTTCTAGGTTTGTCAGCACCATATTCGTGCTCGTGGGTTTCACCGAAGTGGTGAACATCTGAGACCTGCATCACTTCCACGTTAACCTGACACGACGTGAAAGAACTGGAGCATAGTTAAACGGCGTTTAACCTAACTCCAGAGTTCCAGATAACTATTTGATTAATTCAGTTTTTACTCTAGGGTTTCTATAATTCTAATTGGGTTATTACATTTTTCATTGGGTAACCAATAATTTTTCACTCATCTATGCATCACTCTATTCGGTTTTCCCTAAATTAGTGAACATTTTAAGATTTAAAAAAATGAAATAATGTTTCGATGAATGTAACCCTTCTAAATATATAATCTTGACTCGGAAAGTAAATTAGCTCGTAACTGTTACGCAAATACGCTGCTGATCTGACGCTCTGTAACTCTCTCCTCAATCTTTAAGAACATGCAAAAAGGAAAACCAGGGGCGTTGGCATGTCACAGATTCGAGGCCCCACAGACGTAATGTGCCTGGAAAAAACGTACTCACGAACTTCTAAATCCAAACTATAAATGATCGATTTAATAATTTACTTTATATGATACGGGGTAAATCGATCGAAAAGCTTGTGGTCTCTCATAGAAAATTGTTCAGATTTAAAATTGTTAACACATTATCTGTCAATATCATCTCTGACTTCAAACACTTTTTCCAGCGACCTTGGGTCAACTTCTGGACTACTTTTGCGTCGCTTAGATAAATATGAAAGGACAGACCCCAAGTGTGATTTTCAGTGATCCATTCATATAATTTTCAGCCTTTTATTGCCTTTTGCCTTTTATGCCAAATGTAATATGTTTGGGCAGATAATCGAGACTGACCATTTATGTCGTTGACGTTTTATGTTTTCACGTCTTCGTGTCTTTTGGTGACATGCCCTTTTTATGCATGTATTTGATCAAAATAGTTTCTTAGAATTCTCCATTTCCCCTCTGTGAAGATGACATCAGATGCAGACCCGTGAAGATCCGGGATAGAATAGGTCTTCAGCAACCCATGCTTGACGTAAAAGGCGACTATGCTTGTAGGAGGCGACTAACGGGATCGGGTGGTCAGGCTCGCTGACTTGGTTGATGCATTTCATCGATCTCAATTGCGTGAATCGATGGCCATGATGTGAATCACTGGATTGTCTGGTCCAGACACGATTATTTACAGACCGCCGTCATATAGCTGGAATATTGCTGGGTGCGGCGTTAAACAAACAAACAAAGTCTGTATTGTGATGTATGCGAAGAGATGGTATTTATTCTTAATATACATTATCTATATGGCTTTAAACATTTCGATTCCTCTCGCAGATTGCGAAATATATCAAACTGTCGCTTTAAAATTTACAGGAACATTTACATGCCTGAGAGCAGTTCTCCACCTCAAACGAGAAATCGGCTTCTACGCTACACAGACCTACATCCCCAGCATCCTCATCGTCGTGTTGTCCTGGGCCTCGTTCTGGATCGACCACGAGGCAGTTCCCGCCAGAATCTCCGTGGGGCTCCTAACAGTGCTCACCATCACCACCCAGAGCTCAAGTGCGCGCGCACAACTTCCCAGGGTTCCCTACGTGAAGGCCATCGACGTGTGGATGACCTCGTGCCTGGTGTTCGTGTTTGCCGCCTACATGGAGTATGCTGTCGTCACGGTGCTGTCCCGGCGGTTTAAAAAGCTCAAGGCTGGTGGCAATCACAAGGAAAAGATAGTATGTACACACAGCACGAAAAGTCAAGTTTCTGTTTTTCGAAAATCAATTTCCAATATTCCAGAGACCTCTCGATTCACACCCCTTAGGGTTTGGGTTTGAATTCTTGATGGATCGGGTGATTAGGCTCAGTGACTTGGTTTATGACGTGTGGATCCGGCGGTGTGTGGATCGGGTGATTAGGCTCAGTGACTTGGTTTATGACGTGTGGATCCGGCGGGGTGGATCTTTGCTCATAATATCACTCACAGGTTTGTCTGGTCAAGACCCTATTACGGCCGCCATCGTTAAGCTGGAATATTGCTGATTGCCGTGTTAAACAACATACGCGCATCTCCCGATTCGTTGGCCAGTGTCCTGCTCCACGAAGGCAGCTTAGCGCTAACTACCATACTTGACTTAGAGGTACGACAGCCATTCGTGCGGTGGGGTAGCCTTGTGGTTAAAGCGTTCACTCGTCACGCCGATGACCCGGGCTCGATTCCCCACATGGGCACAACGTTTAAAGCCAATTTCTGGTGTCCCCTCCCTTAATATTGCTGGAATATTGCTAAAAGCTTAAGCGGCGTATTACTTCGGCAGTCGTAGCGTTATTTGAACAGCACCGTTGGCCATTTAAAAAATGTGAAAACCCGAAAACCGAGAAGTGTGCACACCTGTGTTCACATTTATACCTCCATAAATGCCAAAATATATTGAGGCAGCTCTTACAAATAAAATAGTAAACAATAATATATTCAAAGATTGCATGATTAAAATCATTAACACAACAACTTAAAGACAACGATACGAAATCACTGATATCGTTGAGCGAATAATGCAACAATAGCCCCGCCCACTGTATTTCCAGCAAATTGTAGATTTGAGGAAACCTAAATTGCTTGGTTAGCCGATCAAATGCCATGGAATCACTTACATTATTTATTTCCAAATAACTTTTGACCGGGTGACGCGTGACGAGTGTGTGACGTCGTACCCTGCGCGGGTTGTCGCGTGAATATAGTTCGAAACATTGCTGTGTGCAGCCCAAAATAAAAATCATTATTTGTTTCTTTGTTTATTTGTTGTTTAACACCGCAATCAGCAATATTCCAGCTATATGACGGCGGTCTGTTAAAAATCGAGTCTGGACCACACAATCCAGTGATTCATGAGCAGTGATCCTGGGGCGGTGAATCATGAGCATCGATCTCCGCAATCTGGATACGCTGACATGCATCAACCAAGTCAGCGAGCCTGACCACCCGATCCCGTTAGTCGCCTCTTACGACAAGCATAGTCGCCTTTAACGACAAGCATGGGTTGCTGAAGACCTATTCTACCCGGATCACCGCGGTCATAAAACTCATTAACTCAACGAAAAGTCAGCAGAGAGACCCGCGAAGTTCCGGGTGAGAATCGGTCTTCAGCAAGCTATGCTTGTCGTAAGAGGCGACTAACGGGATCAGGCCAGCTGATTTGGTTGATGCATGTCATCGTATCCCAATTGCGTAGATCGATGCTCATAATGTCAATCGCTGGATTGTCTGGCCCAGACTCGATTACTTACGGACAGTCGTCATATAGCTGGAACATTGCTGAGTGCAGCGTTAAAAAAACTAGAATTTTTGTGTTAATCATGATTTACTCTTATTCTGCAGGTTTCCATGGCAACAAGCAAAAAGTATGCAATAGAAACACGTGACACAAACGACAATGACCTCTTAACGCACGAAGGCAGAAGGGACCCAGGGAAGAAGGTTGATAAGGCTTCGAGGAGTGTATTCCCGGTGGCATTCTTGGTCTTTAACATCGTCTACTGGATGTATTACGTCTTGTCACGCCAACCAATACTCGAACACGGCCGGATCAAGTAATCAAGAATCCAGACTTGTGTCACTTTCTAAGCCTGCCTCTAACGCTAACGTGGTCTACGACGTAGCAATTCACTGTGCAGAGTTGCGCCCCTTGGTTGTTGTAAGATCCGCAGCCCGTGTGTTCGATCCGTGGGTTTTACCTTCGCCCGTCTTATACACCATGATAGAACTGAAATACTGTCCAAAAACTCACTCACTCACTCTAACGCTTTTGTGATCACATCAAGAATATTTTCCTTTCACTGTTTGTACCCTGGGTCATTTAAAAAATGAATTATGTATTTTCTTTTGCTTTTGTGAAAACCCGAACACCGAAAAGTATGCAAACCTGTGTTCGCGTTTTTACCTCCATAAATGCAAAAATATATTGAGGCAGGTCTTACAAATATGTCTTTGTTTGTTTCTTGTTTAACGCCGCACTCAGAAATATTTCACCTATACGACGGCGGTCTTTAAATAATCGAGTCTGGACCAAACAATCTAATAATTGACATCATGAGCATCGATCCACGCAATTGGGATACGATGACATGTATCAACCAAGTCAATCGCGTTATCTTAGTCGCCTCTTACGACAAGCATAGTCGCCTTTTATGGCAAGCATCCTTCACATTATCAGCAGTGAAGTGTGCATAGTTCACGGATCTTCTAAGAGTTCAAAGGCAAGTTAAGTTGGGCGGCACAGGTCGTACAAGGAGGCAGAACAATTATGGCGGAGACTGTTTGATGTCAAAAATAGTCAAACTCATTGGAAACTCATTGGAGAGTGCCAAGAGGACATTACTTGGTGGCGTGATTTTGTGTATGCCTTCAAAGGGCCAGTCAGCTTGGTGTCACTTGTTCCTTTAAAGTATCTCTTCACGGATGCCTGTGATACGGCAGCTGGCGCGTATGCTGAGGGAAAGTTTGCTTGCCGGTACTGGCAGATTTCAAAGAAACATATTGATGTTAAAGACATTTTGGCGGTGGTATTGGCACATTCGTCACCACTCGCCCCTTTCCGTAACCTTCAAAAAGACTCGTCCCCCTATCGATGAATGTTATGTGCGAAAATACGACAAACCAATCAGAATGCGCGAATGATTTCAAGTTCTTCGTCAAAGAATCCCTCAGAAATAATTTCTGTTTTTACATATGTCTTGCATCTAAAAATATACCCAAGACACAGTTAAATGTGTTCAATCATACAGTATAATTTCGCATGTCCTGATGTGCTTTTAATTGCATCTGAAATATAAATGATATATAGGGAAATATATGTGAACCATTGCGCAACGAGTTGACAATTGTTTTAGGTATGCCCGTTTGCGCTAAGACGGAACCCGGTTGCAAAAATGGCCACGGGAGGGGCACGAGTCGCTATTCGGCTTGTCCCGGAATAACACGAGTTGGTCACAAATGGGTATTGGCAATGCAATCGCCCGATGGAGACTCACTTTTCAGAACAAGAACGTTGTAGTGCACACTGATAATATAACCTGCAGAGCGGCTATCGACAAAGGAACCGCCTCCGTGGTCTAGTGGTAGAGCGTCCGCCCGGAGAGCGGAAGGTCCGGGGTTCGATGCCCGGCCGCGTCATACCAAAAGACGTTAAAAGATGGTACTTGTTACCATGTCTGGCGCTCGGAAGTTAGGGGCTAAAACAAGGACTGGTCGGCTCGGAGTCAGTATACTGTGTCTGAGTAGGGTATTCATGTTAAACTGCGGCATGGTATCTTTGTGAGCTAGCACTATAAATCGGCATCAGTCCGGACTAGTACAAGCAGCCACACAAACACAAACACATACACGTACATGCACGTCGCTATATAAGTGCAATAATCTTGGACGCGACGTTAAACCCAATTTCACCTCACCTCACCTATCGACAAAGGTACTGTTCCTAGTTCCGGGGCCATGAGATATATTCTTGATTATTCTGGAAGGGAGGGGTAGGCGAGATTGTTTTATCTTCAGGTTGTTTTTTTTCAATGTTGGCACCTTCTAACCAATTGTTCTTTGGATCGGGATTCATGTACAATCATATTCGGGTGTTCGTTCTTCATTATTGGTATTGTCATTATTCATTATTGGCTATAGTATTCGTTCGTTTGTTCGCGTTGTACTCATCGTAAATTATTTTACAAAACGTATCGTGCTGTAACCTTTTGCCAATATTCTATGTTGTGCGTTATTCAACAGTTTACGAGGATGACGTTAGGTAAACAACAACATTGCGTGTAGAGATGATATATCACTGAGAAGAGCTTATGCATGCGCAATGACCCCAGAACCCTGTTGCTAGGCTGGAGTCACATGGCATTTATTTCGCCGATGTCATTTGCAACAATATTTCACAAATTACGTCATAGGGTAAGTCTATGTTAAGTATTACTATACCATGTTAGAGTTACGATCTCCTTAGCGCTACGATAGCTTTGTGGAACGGACCCCTGGATTCTAAAGGTAGGCTGTTGTGTGGTATTAAATTAATAGGTGTCAACTTTCAATGTGTTTGAAGAATTATTCTGTTAAACTCAATTAGATTTTGCTGTGGATTGAGTAGATGCCTGCCTATTTACAGAACACACGACAGTGAAATTTAAAAAAAAAATACAAACGGTAAATAATAAATAAAATACACTGAAAGGCAAAAGAAACGTCATGTGGATGTATCATTTAAATATCTTTATTTTCAAATGCTTATCTATGTAAGTAAAGACATCGTAGAAAGTCAGTGTTTGACCCATATGAAATTAACAGTCTGGGGAATGTTTTTGCGAATTGTGAATTTGGGAAGGCACCAGAAGACATCACAGCTGGGGAGTTCAAAATCAGTACCTGGTGAGACCACCATGGGCGTTGACTACAGCCACATATCTCCTGTACATGGAGTGGACTAGCCTGTTGATGAAGGCCATTGGGATATCGGCCCATATCCTCAGGATCGCTACACGCAGTTCTGCTGCAGTTGTCGGCCTTGGGCGTACGTCGTTGAGTCGGCGTTGGATCTCATCCCACAAGTGTTCAATAGGTTTCAAATCCGGACTGAGGGCAGGCCAAAGCATGATTTGGATGTTGTTCTGCTTGAGGAAGTCCCTGGTGACCCTGGCAGTGTGGGGACGGGCGTTGTCTTGCTGAAAGGTGTGGTTTTGATGACGGGCAAAAAAAGGCACGACATGGGGTCTGCAGACTTGGTCAATGTAGCGGAGAGCTGTGATGCCATTACCCCTGCCTGGACCAATATTCTGAAAGACCACAGGTCCCACTCTCTGGTTCAGTCCGATTCCAGCCCAAACCATGATGCTTGGGCCGCCCCACGGGTCTCGTTCCATAACACAAGCATCAGCATAACGTTCGCCCCTCCTTCGCCTGACCCTGACTCTGCCATCCACCGTTGAAACACAGTAGCGACTTTCATCAGTGAAGATGATTCTTCTCCATTGCTGTTGATGCCAATTTTGATGCTGCCTGGCCCATTGCAGTCGGGCCTGTCGGTGACGATCTCTCAGGATGGGTACACGAGCAGGTCGGTAGCACGAGATGTTGTTGGCAGTTAGGCGACGTCGGACTGTACGATCACTGATGGCACGCTGGTGGTAGCCAATGGTTTGCCGAGCTGTTTCAGTGGCCATTCGGAATCGGTTCTGCAGATGTTTGCGTATCATGAACCGATCTTGTCTGGGAGTAGTGACTCTAGGACGACCACTACGCGGTCGGTCGTCGGTGGTGTTGGTGGTGTTGTGGCGATGTTGCAAACGGTATATCGTTCTAACGTTGACATTGAATGCATTTGCAACGACCTGTGCACTCTGGCCTGCTTGCAGTCTTCCGATTGCTTGTTGTCTCTCGTTTCCTGATAATCTTGGCATGGCTGATGAATCAAATAAGGAAAGCCAGCTTAACAGTTTTGGGTGTCTTTTATACCCATACCATCCACGATATGCACGTGCATCCCATTGCACTTTTGTAGGCTGTGTTTGGGCAAAGCACTCCATTTTAAACTCAATTGTTAAATGGACTTTAAGGCAACAAAAAGAAGCAGTAGAACGATAAATGAGTTTATTGACCACAGAACATGTAACTGCCAGTGTCTGTTAAGTTTTATCAGTATTTTCAGAAGTGACGTTTCTTTTGCCTTTCAGTGTACTAGACTCGCTTCCGTGCAATACTATTCACGAGTTTCATAAAATTGGTATTACACGGGAACTCATTTAGTATTCTATATATACACTCACACGCAAAAGAAACGCAAGTCGAGTATGCATTATACATGTTATTTATTTTCAACAGTAAAGACAAGAAATACTAATAGGGCAAGATTGACAAAAAATTGACTGAAGACAGTTGAATGGATTAAAAGGCAGATGACATAAAAAAAATTAAAATGTTAAGGGCTTACACAGTTTCGGGTCAATACCCAAAATGTCAGTCAATACCTGGTGTGACCAGCATAAGCATTGATCACTGCCACACATCTGCTGTACATTGAGTGGATCAGACGATTTGTGAAGGCCCTAGGGATCCTCCTGCACACATCCAGAGCAGCTGTGCGTAGTTCATCGGCAATTGTGGGGACTGGGCGCACATTGTTCAGACGCCTTTTAACCTCATCCCACAAGTGTTCGATGGGGTTCAGATCAGGGCTGAGGGCTGGCCACGGTAGAACACGGATGTTGTGTTGTTGCCGAAAGGCCATGGTAGCTCTGGCAACATGGGGACGAGCGTTGTCCTGCTGGAAAATGGGTTGTTGATGTTGTGCAAAAGATGGAACAACGTGGGGTCTGATCACTTGGTCGATATACCGCTGAGCAGTGACGCCGTGTCCCCGACCTTGACCAACATTCAGAAAGTCCAATCCCTGCCCATATCATGACGCTAGGTCCATCCCATGGATCCCTTTCCACAACGTTTCTGTCAGCGAAACGATCACCTCGACGCCGCCAAATTCTGACTCTTCCGTCTGCATGGGAGACACAAAAGCGACTTTCATCAGAGAAGATGACACGCCTCCACTCACGATGACGTCAATTGTGATGACCCTGTGCCCACTGAAGTCGTGCTTGTCGATGCCGTGGTTGGAGAACAGGACGACGTGCTGGTCGATGCAGGAGAAGATTAATTGTGGTTATGTTAACGTTGAAATGACGGGCAACATCTTGGACAGACTCTCCAGCTTCCAAACGTTCGATAGCCTGGTTTCTCTGAATTTGAGTTAGGCGTGACATTGTTGACCAAGGAGCGGTAGGTCCAAGAATCGGCCACAGTTTTATACCCACTACAGTTCGTGACAGTTCGTGGATTTTCGATTTCGCGAGAAATGGGTGCATGATACCCACATATTCATTGAAATGGTGCGTTTTGGCGATTCGTTTTTTATGTTGCGTTTTTACTCGGGGCTTCCAAA